TCCTCGGCGCCCCGGATCCCGCAACCGCACGGGCTCCGCATTGGAGAGCGGTGCGCGGCTCGTCCCTGTCGGGGCGGTCTCGGGCCTGATCCCGGTCCCCGGCGCCGTGCCTCCCGGAGCGCGCCCTTCTCTGGTCTCGCGGTGCGTCAGTCTCCCCGAATGAACTGGGCCTCGCGATCTCTGCTGAGTCGTTTGTGCACCGGGGACTTCATACGTGTCCAGTGGTACGTTGGGGGAGCCTAGGCTTTGGCACTAGGTCGCTCCAGCACCGCACTGTAGGGTTAGTCGTTTTGTCTGAGAAACTGCATTTCTTACTTTTGTTGTTGTTTTTTAGTTTGCAGTGCTGGCGCTCGAACTTGCTAGGCAAGCGCTCTATCCCTGAGCTTCGCTCCCAGCCCTGAACCTCTGTTTCCCTTCCTGCAAAAATGGTGTCTTTTAATATTCCAAGCTCATTCCTACCTTAGCGCGTCGGATCGGTGCCCTTCGCCCGCCCTTTGCTCGGAAATTGCCAACTTCGGTCTTTACAAGGCTGACACCTTCTCGCTTCCCTCGTTGTGAAGACCTTTTTGCTGGCTATCTACTCGGTCGTCATCACACTACTTTCAGTTGCTCCTTATCATTTACCCTATCTACAATTACTGTTTATTACTTTGTCAACTGCTTAGGTATGGTTTTTGAGCACAAGGACCCTGTCTGTCTTCCTTTTGCTTATTGCAGTTTGCCATTGACCTGCGCGTGGTTGATGCACGCATATGCCTTAGTGCAGCACAGAAAGGGACCTTTTTCTTGGACTCCATTGATTTCTCTCCTTCTTTCCTCACTTTGAGCTAAGGATCAGTCCTCCCCTATCAGGTTTCTGGCCTTATGTGCTTCCCACTTCCCACTTGATGTGTAACTTAGTCTTGCCCCTTCCATCAGTACCTTTCTGATTACTTTGTTGGGAGCCTGGTCAGGGAAACTCTTCTACACATGATTAAGTGCTGAGCAAGCACTGCTCTGGGCTTAGACTTGGTTCTTTATTCATTGAATAACTTTATTGAACATCTACTTGATTTCTGGGAATAGAGTGAAGAAACAAAAGCCAGCAAGGTCTTTTCCCTTATGAGCCTGTATTCTGGTGGGCAAATAAAAAAGCACAATGAATGAATTGGATGATTTATGACAGAGTGCTGAAGAGGTGACATTTGAGGGAGTCCATCCAGGGAGAGGTGAGAGAACAGAACATGACAGGCAGAAAAAATGAAATGTCAGTGTTCAGGGACAAAAACAAACTTGGAATATTTGAGGAACATTCAGGTTGCTCATGTGTGGATTAGGGAGACTTATTCAGAGACCAGGACTTTGAAGGCAATGGATGGATTTGCATTTGACTTAAGTGGTGGATTGTTTTCATTAAAACCAGGGTAGGTTGAAGTGATGGGCTATGTTCTTGACCTCCATGTTTACCATAGGTGGTTTTCATGTATTGGATCTTTCCCTCTTTTAAGTGAAAGGCTTCATTTGATTCTATAAGGTAGAAGATATATATACATATGTATATATATATACATATATGGCAAAGCACAAATCTTGGATTATTGCACGTTATGAATGTTTGTGAGATAGCCTTGGAAAGCAAAGCTTTTATTCCAGATACTTTCATCTATAACTTAGGGCTTATAGGAAAAAGCTAGGCTTAGGTCTAGCCATTCAATCCACAAGATTGGGGATTTAAGGTTAGAGACATGGCTTAAGTGGTAGAACACCTGCCTAGGCTGTGAGTTCAAAACCAAGTACTACTCCAAAGAAAATAATTTTGGATTTAGGCAAATATGTATTATGGTATGTATTTTTTAGTTTTGGGTGGATTTTGTCAGTAGTGGAGCTTGAACTCCGTTTTGCACTCTGGCTCAGCTGGTACTATCACTTGAACCACACCTGCACTTCTAGCTAGTTAATTGGAGATAAATCTCAAATGTGTCTACCTGGGTTGTCTCTAAACCTTAATCCTCAAATCTTAGCTAAGTGGAGTAGCTAAGATGACAGGTAGTAGCCACTGATGACCAGCCTTAAAATTTGAAAGTTTTAGATTTCGGTACATTTCAGATTGCTGGTTTTTGTATAGGAATGCTCAGCTGATGTTTGGTTTTAGAGACTTTATCACTGAAAGAATATAAAAAGGGCTTGCTGATAAATACTGGTCCTTTAGCTAACATCTAAGACTAGACTCTATAGTACTTTAACTTTTAAGGATTATAACATTCATACTGATATTGTGCCTCAGTTTTTTGTTTTAGGACTTGAGACAGAATTTTCTTTTTAAGTGCCAGTTCTGGGGCTTGAACATAGGAACTCAGGGTCTGGGCATTGTCCATGAGCTTTGTTGCTCAAAGTCAGCACTCTGCCACTTAAGCCACAGCTCCACTTCTGGCTTTTTTCGTGTTTAATTGGAGGTAAGTTTCATGGACTTTCTTGCTTGGGCTTGCTTTAAATTCTCAGATCTCAGCCTCCTGAGAAGCTAGTACCAGAACCTGGCATGAGACAGGATCTTACTGTGTAGCCCAGCATGGCCTTAAACTCAAGCAAGATCATCCAGTTTCAGCCTCTTTAAAACAGGGATTACAGGCATGTACACCTGCTATCATTAATATTTCATTAGTGAAACAAATGTACCTATCAAGTGATTTATATTGCATTTATGTCCTAGCTAATAGGGAGGCAGAGATTGAGGAATTCATTATTTAAAGGCAGCTAGGGTAAAAAAGAATTTCACAGAACTCTGTCATAACCAGTGACTGGGTAGTGTCGTATGCCTGCTTTCCTAGCTAGCAAAACCACAGCAGCTAGGCATGCTGGTGCAAGCTGTGTCCAGACAGGGAAGGCTGAGTTCCAGACTGGCCCAGAAATAATAGGTAACCACTTGGAAATTACAAATGAAAAATGAGGCTGGAGGTGTGGCCCAAGTAGTAGAGCACACACCTGGCACAAATGTATGACTTGGGGAAGGGCACAGATAATAATATAAAAGGACTAGTTTATACCACTCACTGTGCCTCTACATGACCACTCATGTGAACTTTGTTTCTTGTTTTTTTAACTTTTAGGTTTTACAACAATGGAGCTCAGTGATGCAAATTTACAAACACTAACAGAATATTTAAAGAAAACCCTTGATCCTGATCCTGCCATCAGACGTCCGGGTAAAAGAATAAATCTTTTTTCTTTTTTTCTTTTTGTACTGGGGCCTGAACTCATGATCTTGCTCTGTCACTTGACTTTTTTTTGTTGTTGTTCAAAATGGTAATTTCTACTTGAGCCATACTTCCATTTCTGGCTTTTGGTAGTTAATTGGAGATAAACAACTCTCCAATTTTTCTACCCGGGCAGGAAAGCTTGTAAAACTCCAATTAAACAAACCTTGTAACAAGGAAATTTCTTTTACAGCTGAGAAATTTCTTGAATCTGTAGAAGGAAATCAGAACTACCCACTGTTACTTTTAACATTACTGGAGAAGTCCCAGGACAATGTCATCAAAGTCTGTGCTTCAGTAACCTTCAAGAATTATATTAAAAGAAACTGGAGGATAGTAAGTATTTTGAGAATATATAATTTATTTATTTATTTTTTTTTGGGTCCGGTTGTGGGGCCTGAACTCTGGGCCTGGGCACTGTCCCTCAGCTCTTCAGCTCAAGGCTAGCACTCTACCACTTGAGCCAGAGCGCCACTCCCCGCTTTTTTTTTTTTTTTGTCTTTTCTTTTTTGGTACTGGGGATTGAACCCAGGATGTTGCGCTTGCTAGGCAAGTGCTTTGCCACTGAGCTACATCCCAGCCCTCCCCGCTTTTTTCTTATGTGGTGCTAAGGAATCGAACCCAGGGCCTCAGGCTTGCAAGGCAAGTGCTCTACCACTGAGCCATCTTCCCAACCCCGAGAATATATAATTTTATAACTGTGTGTTTGTAAGATTTATCTGAACTACTACAAAAGATTCAAACACAGATTAAAAAAAACAGGTTCCATGCCCGGGGCTGGTGGCTCAAGCCTGTAATTCTGGCTACTCAGGAGGCTGAGATCTGCGAATCGTGGTTCAAAGCTAGCCCCGGCAGGAAAGTCCATGAGGCTCTTATCTCCAGTTAACCACTAGAAAACCAGAAGTGGCTCTATGGCTCAAGCGGTAGAGTGCTCGACTTGAGCTGAAGAGCACAGGGACAGCGCCCAAGCCCACAATTCAAGCCCCACGACTGACAAAAAAAAAAAAAAAGAAACAGGTTCCTTTTCCTAAAGTCCTATCACTTCCTTTAAATTGATATAAATGCCCGTAAACTTTGTAACTCAAATTTCTGGACAGAATGTTAACTTGGTTTTAATTAACTCTAGGTTACTTCCTATTGAGAAGATATTATGTAGGAATATAGTCTTAATTGGTAATTGGTGGTTGTGGACTAGGGAATTTAAGGCTGAAAAAAAATACCACATATATTAAATTTTAAATTGATTGTGATATGCTCCTTCAATCTCAGCTTCTTGGGCGGGGGCTGAGGCAGGAGGGTAGCATGAACTGGTTAGACAGCATAATATCCCATCTGAAACAAAAATTTAGATTGCAAAGTAGTTTTGATTGGTTGATTTATTTTTGTGGCACAAGAAATTAAAGCCAGGGTTTATAACATGATAAGCAAGACCTCTACCGCTGAGTTACACTTTCAACCTCAGATTTGAGGCACAGTGCCACTTCTGGTTGTCTGGTGGTTAATTAGAGATAAGAGTCTCACATTGGGGCTGGGAAGGTGGCTCAGTGGTAGAGTGCTTGCCTTGCATGCATGAGGCCCTGGGTTCGATTCCTCAGCACCACATAAGCAAAATGAAAAAAGCCGGAAGTGGCGCTGTGACTCAAGTGGTAGAGCGCTAGCCTTGAGCTGAAGAGCTAAAGGACAGTGCTCAGGCCCAGAGTTCAGGCACCATGACCGGACCACCCCCCACCCCCCAAAAAAAAAAAAAAAAAGACTCACAGACTTTTCTGCCCGAGCTGGATTTGAACCACGATGCTCAGATCTCAGCCTCCTCAGTAGCTAGGATTACAGGTGTAAGCCACTGGCGCCTGGCAACTACAGTTTTATGAGGAGAAAAGGTTTTGTGCTTTGAAGGAATCATGTAGGAGACTGAGGAATAACCTGCCTTCCTCTTTTTCAGTAAACTGGAGAATTAAAATTATTGTTTATTTGGACGTAAGTAAATTTTTTTATGTTTGTGCTAGTCCTAGAGCTTGAACTCAGGGCACTGTCCCTGAACTTTTTTGTTCAAGACTAGCATTTTATCACTTGAGCCACATCTCACTTCAGCTTTTTGGTAGTTCATTGGAGATAAAAGTTTCATGTACTTTTCTGCCGGGCTAACTTTGAAACCAGATCCATAGCTCTTGGGCTCCTGAGTAGCTAGGGTTCCTTGCATGAGCCATCAGTGCCTGGCTAGAAGTATGAATTTGATATTACTTGCTCATTGATAATTTTGCTTTTAGGTTGAAGATGAACCAAACAAAATTTGTGAAGCTGATCGAGTAGCCATTAAAGCCAACATTGTACATTTGATGCTTAGCAGCCCAGAGCAGATCCAGAAGCAGGTAAGTATTTTGCTTCTAAGGGGAGCTCCCTTCTAAGGCTCTCTTCTAATAATCTTGTCCTCCCCAGTTGAGTGATGCCATTAGCATTATTGGCAGAGAAGATTTCCCTCAGAAATGGCCTGATTTGTTGACAGAAATGGTGAATCGCTTTCAGAGTGGAGATTTCCATGTTATTAATGGAGTCCTTCGTACAGCACATTCATTATTTAAAAGGTATTGACAATATAGATTGATTCTTCTGACATACTGTCTATTTACTTGTATAAATAGTTGTATTTTTGTGTTATTCTGAATATATTCCCCTAGCCATTCAGTTCATTATTGTGTTTGTTTCTTCTTAAGAACAATGTTTATTTCATATTGCCTGTGAAAGATCCTTGATTCCTTTTGAAAAAAGACCAAGAATTTCCTTTTAATGTCAGAAAGCCATATGGTCAAAGGTGTCTAATCAGCAACTGTCTTTGAAGGCATAAATGAGTAGACTATAACTTGTAAATTTACCTACTTTAATTTTCTAGATATCGCCATGAATTTAAGTCAAATGAGTTATGGACTGAAATTAAACTTGTTCTGGATGCCTTTGCTTTGCCTTTGACCAATCTTTTTAAGGTATGGAATGAATTCTTGGTGATGGTTTGAAATTACTTAGTATTTTAAGTTGCCTAAATATAAATTCTAAGAGAATAGATTTGAATGGCATTTCTTTGGAGGAAATTCAAAGATGGTATAATTAATTCCCTCCTGTTATACACATATTAAGTTTTTTTTTCTTTTTTTTTTTTTACCTGCTCACATTCCCTCCTCCCATTTTTCACTTCTGGGGTTTGAACTCATTTGCTAAGCAAGTACTCTACCACTTGATATGCACTCCCAGCCCTTTTTTTGCTTTCAATTTTTGTTGTTTGTGTGTGCCAGTCCTGGGGCTTGAATCGAGAGCCTAGGTATTATCCCTGAGCTTTTGTGCTCAAGGCTAGTGATCTACCACTTGAGCCACTGCTCTACTTCTGGCCCTTTGGTGGTTGGAAATAAGAGTCTTAAGTACTTCCCTGCCTGGGCTGGCTTCCAACCTCAATCCTCAGTTCTCAGCCTCTTGAGTAGCTAAGATTATAGGCATGAGCCACTGGTTCATGGCTTCATTATTTCTATTTAATAGAGCCTCACGTTTTGCCATGTTGCTGGGATCTTGGTCCTCCTATTTAGCTTCCCATGTTAGGATGTGTTGCTTTATGTAGCTTTATTAGTTGAGATGGGGTTCTCGGGAACTTTTTGCCTGGGACTACAGTCTCAGTAGCTAGAATTGTAGGCATGATCCCCAACTATATTTGTTTTTGTGAAATAGGGTCTCACTATTTAGCCCAGCCTAGCCTCAAACTCAAGATCCTTGTGTCTCAGCTTCCCAAGTGCTGGGATTACAAGTGTGTGCTACTATACCTCTCTATATAGTTTGCCTCCTTAAAGTAATGCTTCTTAGGACCTATTAATAAAAATCTGGGTTCCTAAATGTGTGGCTGTGTCATAAGTGTGCTGCCTTAGTAATGCCCTTCTAGAATCTCAAAACTTGAAAATTAGAGGCATGTACAAAGTTGTATTAGATAAATCCATCTGTTAGTGATAGAATAATGAGCAATTGGAAACAAGCTAAATACCAAGTAGCAGAGGAATCGTTTACTAAGAACATATTTAAAAGTTTTGTGTAATACACACATACACCTACACCTCACAGGTGATTGGAGTGATGATGTAGTTCAAATTATTAATGTTGAATTTTTCAGTAGTGTTATTAAGGACAAGTTAAAAATACTAATTTATTGTTTAGGATATCTTAATAGTTGCTACCATTTTTTTTTTTTTTTTGATGGTCATGGGGCTTGAACTCTAGGCCTGGGCGTTGTCCCTGGGCTCTTCAGCTCAAGGCTAATACTCTACCATTTGAGCCACAGTGCCACTTCTGGCCTTTTCTGTTTATGTGGTGCAGAGGAATCGAACCAAGGGCCTCATGCATGTGAGGCAAGCATTCTACTGTTGAGCCACCTTCCCAGCCTTAGCTGCCACTGTTTAAAAGCCACATTTTGTAGAAAATATGAGTTAACCTGAGCATAGCACAAAGCTGTTTTGCTAAGATGAGTGAGCTACGTTTATGCCACAGTAAAACCGTGTTCCTAACTTTCTTCCTAAGGCTACCATTGAGTTGTGCAGCACCCATGCTAATGATGCCTCTGCTTTGAGGATTCTGTTTTCTTCCTTGATCTTGATCTCAAAATTATTCTATAGTTTAAACTTTCAGGTAAGTTTCTTTTATTTTTTTTAATGTTAAATATGAGGTCCACATTACTGGTTTGCTGAACAAAAAGACTTTGATTCATATTCTTCATATCCTTATCCATGGTGTTCTCCTTCAGAGGTGAATAAGTGTTTTATGAAAGACAGTCACATTACCTGTTTCCAGCAAGAAGGCCCTTTATTGGGGTTTGAACTCTGGCCTTTGGCGCTATCCTTGCGCTCTTCAGCTCAAGGTGAGCACTGTACCGCTGGAGCCACAGCGCCACTTCCAGTTTTCTGAGTGGTTTATTGGAGATGAGAGTCTCATGGACTTTCCTGCCCAGGCTGGCTTTGAACGGGATCCTCAGATCTTAGCCTCCTGAGTAGCTAGGATTACAGGTGTGAGCTACTGGCGTGGCTCACCCTTTGAGAGTCATCCTAAACATTATTTTACTAGCAAGTACTGAGAAATCAGATTTCTGAGGCCTTCCTTTCTTTGTTCATTTACATGGATATTGGCACTGGGGATTATATTTTGGTTGAGACCCTGGATAAATTGTACACAGGGTCAACTACCAGGCTTAGAACCAAAGACACTGAGTAGAAACTCTACTATTAGAGTTAGGAGATGTCTGGTCACCCTGCTGTCAGAGATAGTGACCTCCAGCCATTTTTTTCCTTTTCTATTTTTTTTGCCAGTCCTCGGGCTTGAACTTAGGGCCTGGGCACTGTCCTTGAGCTGCTTTCGGTCAAGGCTAGCACTCTACCACTTGAGCTACCGCGCCCCTTTTTCTGTGTATGTGGTACTGAGGAATCAAACCCAGGGCTTCATGCATGCAAGGCAAGCACTCTACTGATAGCCACTTTCCTAACCGCCTCTTTTTTCTTTTGTGTTGATTCTGGGGTTTTAATTTAGGATTAAAGCACTGCCCCTGAGCTTTTTTGCTCTAGACTAGTGCTCTAGCCATTTGGTTAATGTCTGTGGTTAATGTCTGTGTTGGCTTCCAACTTCGATCTCAGCCTCCCAAGTAGCTAGGGTTACAGGTGTGACTATTTTTATTTGATATTGAATCAATAAGATTCAGTGCTTCTGGATCAAGAACATCATAGTAATTAACACTTATTGCTACATACACCAACTTGCCAGAAAGAGGATTTTGCCTTTCCACTATTCATAGCCAATACCTATACTTACTCTCCCCAATACCTGGACTCAATATCCCTAAAAGGAGATTGAGTGCTCTTAGGTAGAGCCAGAGATGCACAGCCATTTGAGAAATTCTTATTTAAATGAATGCCACTGCTTTTGCTTATACCTTCTGAGAAGTCAGGAAATGAAGCACTTGATAACAAGCCAGGGAAACCAGAGGAAGGAGACCAAACTCTCAGTGGGTTTGTCCCTCACTAGGAACGTGGTACTGGATTAATGCTATGGGAGAGGAGCAGCTACATAGGCCATGAGTTTGAGTCTGGGTAGTGATTATCTTAGGAATGAGAAAGGAAAGAGGGTATGTTGGTAAGCACTGAGCTTTGTTATGCTTCCTGTGGTCCTAGCTGACCTTGAAGAATAAGTAGATCTAGCGGGGCGCTGGTGGCTCACGCCTGTAATCCTAGCTACTCAGGAGGCTGAGATCTGAGGATCCCGGTTCAAAGCCAGCCTGGGCAAGAGAGACCGTGAGACTCCTATCTCCAATAAACCACCAGAAAACCGGAAGTGGCGCTGTAGCTCAAGTGGTAGAGACTCGCCTTGAGCTGAAGAGCTGAGGGACAGCACCCAGGCCCAGAGTTCAAGCCCCACGACCGACAAAAAAAAAAAAAGAATAAGTAGATCTAGGTTGGGACAGGAAACGGGTGGGATGATGTGTGGTAAGGCATACAGAAACCAAAGTCAAATTGACGTACTCAGCTGCCACAGACCCCCACCAAAGCAAAGAATTATTACAGTGGATAGTGCTCAGATTAGTAAATTGGACTTGGCCTATAGGCATATGTAGAATATTTGGTGAAGTGGAAATTTATTAAAGCAGTACATTTTTGTTAATCAAAAGTCTCAAGTCAGTGATTATTCTTTAGGATCTCCCTGAATTTTTTGAAGATAATATGGAAACTTGGATGAATAATTTTCACACCCTATTGACATTGGATAATAAGCTTCTACAAACAGATGTGAGTATTACAATGCTTTGTGAGTGAGCTTTTTGCATGGGCTTAGCTCAGAGCCTAGGGTTTGATCCCAGCACCCACAAAATTACTGTGATATGCCCTAAAAACCTATTTAAAATAATACTCTTTGTTACCAGGTAAATCTCATTAATGCCAGTGGAATTTGCTTCTGTTGCTTGTTCCATATGTAGCTAGACAGAGAAATTCTTGTTGGCCTCATGATAAATAGATGAGGCTATCTTATAGTTTCTGAAATACAATTAATCTTTGAAGATACTAAAATTAAACTTCTGTCACAGTAGCTTCTTTATTTACAATTTAGCATGTATTAATTGCATGAGGTATTTGTTGTGATATTTCCATGTGTGCATACAATCAATTCCCTCTTTCTCCTTCCCCCTTTCTAAAAGAATTACAGCAGATTTCACTGTTATATTTTAAAATATGCAAATCAACTATTTTAACCATATTCACTCATTTGTCCTCATGATGGTATTTACAGAGGTTGTTTTACTTTCTTTGTATGTATTTGTACCAAGGGGATTTGTTATGGTATTTCATTCATACATACATAAATGTATTTACATACACATACAAAACAATAAGCCTCTATTTTGATTTTTTACACGTTTTTAATTGTAAAAATACTGTACGAGGGGTTACAGTAACATGAGCAAGGTTTGGGGTTTTTTTTTGTTTTTGTTTTAATTTGCCTTTTGTTGTTGATCCTGGGGCTTGAATTCAGCATGGAGCTTGTTCAGTTTGCATCAGCTGGCACTCTACCATTTGGCTTTTTTCTGGTTAATTGGAGATAATAGCCTCATAGACTTTTCTGCTCAGGGTGGCCTTGGACCATGATCATCCATGATCTCAGCCTCCTGAGTAGCTAGGATTGCAGGCATGAGTTTGAAGTAGACTCTTAAAATTATTATTCACAGCTTGGGAAAAGTTCTGGTCTCGGTTTTGGATTATGTACTTTTCATCCTACAGCACTCATTTTGTTCTACTTATTTGTTTTAGGAGACAAAACCATGAAGTATTGGGAATACTACAGCACTAAAAAAATTTAATTGAGGGGCTAGGAAAGTGGCTCAGTGGTAGAGTGCTTGCCTCGCATGCATGAGGCTCTGGGTTCGATTCCTCAGCACCACATAAACAGAAAAAGCTGAAAGTGGCGCTGTGGCTCAAGTGGTAGAGCCCTAGCCTTGAGCTGAAGAGCTGAGGGACAGTGCCCAGGCCCAAGAGTTCAGGCCACACGACTGACCCCCCCAAAAAAAATTTAATTGAAATTTAGATCAGATTGTGATTTTGTCATACCTGATTTAGTGTCAAATTTGACTTAAGTACAAAGGGAACAAAAATGTAGCTTCTGAAAGTAATATTTTAGTCCTATTGGGAAAAAAAGATACTTCTCAGAAAATGAAGCTTTTCTGTTTACTTGTTGCATTCTTAGTACTGGTGTGTGAGTGACCTTTGAGCCATCTCTAGCCCAGTGATTTTTTTTGGTCAGTTGAGTAGCTTGAACTTGGGGCCAGGGTGTGCTATCCCTGAGCTTTTCTGCTCAAGTCTAGTACTCTACCACTTTGAGCTGGTGAGCCACTTGTAGTTTTCTGGTGGTTAATTGGAGATAAGAGTCTCCAAATCCTGCCCAGACTGGCTTTGAACCGTGATCCTTGGTTCTTAGCTAGGATTACAGGAATGAGCCACCAGTGCCCAACTAGCCCACAGATTTTTTTGGGGGTCCAGTTGTGGGGCCTGAACTATGGGCCTGGGTGCTGTCCCTCAGCTCTTCAGCTCTTGAGCCACAGCGCCACTTCTGGCTTTATTCTTTTTGCTTATGTGGTCCTGAGGAATCGAACCCAGGGCCTCAGGCATGCAAGGTAAGCGCTCTACACTGTGCCACCTTCCCAGCCCCTAGCCCACAGATTTTTTATTTTTTTGGGTGGGGGGGGTCCAGTCTGGGGGCTTGAACTCTGGGCCTCAGCTCAAGGCTAGCGCTCTACCACTTGAGCCACAGACACACTTCTGGCTTTTTTCTTTTTGCTTATGTGGTGCTGAGGAATCGAACCCAGGGCCTCATGTATGCAAGGTAAGCGCTCTACCACTGAGCCACCTTCCCAGCCAAGCCCACAGATTTTTGAGAAGGGTTTCAAACTTGTGATTCTTGAGTCTCTGCCTCTCAAGTGTTGGGACTGTAGTCATATGCCATCATGCCTGGCAGAATTAACTTTTGCTTTACATTTAAGTCTAAAGGAAATTTTCACAAAATTCTTACAGGTAGCTCTTTGCCTGGTTAATTTTGTGTTATCTCATTGTCTATCATCCCTTACATTTATGTTTTGAACAAGGTGTAAGGGAGTTGTTTTTCTCTCTTCTAATTTGGAGGTTTTTGGCACAATTCACTGGCATAGTTTAGACTGGTGAACTTTTTCTGTAATGGACCAGAGTAAACACTTGAGTTTTGTGGGCCACAGGCTCTGTTTTAACTACTCTACAGTTGTGATGTGGAAGCAGCAGGTAGTACTATAATTATATACATGAAGAATGAATGAAAACTGCCCAAAATAGGGATAGGCCAGATTTGGACTGTAGTTTACTGAGCATTTATTATACCATAGTATTGTTTATGAAAATCCTGTAGCATTACCTTTGCGAGACTTGAATAGGTTGCTTTGGCACAGATGTAATTTATACTAATGGATTTGGGATTTTAGCAGAACTCTTCTTGTCTTTTAGTCTTTAAGTTGTATGTTTGAGTTTTCTCTTTTCTGTTTACATGAGGATGAAGAGGAAGCAGGCTTACTGGAGCTTTTGAAGTCCCAGATTTGTGATAATGCTGCACTCTATGCACAAAAATATGATGAAGAATTTCAACGGTACCTGCCTCGTTTTGTCACAGCCATCTGGAACTTACTAGTTACAACAGGTCAAGAAGTTAAATATGATTTGGTAAGATGATGGTGGAGACAGTCAAGAGATTCTTTCCCTGTGTATTTACTGTAGATGAGCTGTTTGGTTTTGCTTTTAAGATATTCTTATTTTTATGTTTTGTTTCAGTTGGTAAGTAATGCAATTCAATTTCTGGCTTCAGTTTGTGAGAGACCTCATTATAAGAATCTGTTTGAGGACCAGAACACGCTGACAAGTATCTGTGAGAAGGTTATTGTGCCTAACATGGAATTTAGAGGTAATTATGGCCAAGTATGAAGGTTTCAGTTTTTAAAAGGGTGTTAGCATAAATTTCTTGTAACATGCAGTTGAATGTCATTTCTAAATGAAACTTATGAATCAGATTATTGTAAATCTGCTTCCAGACATGCAGGAAAGAAATTGTGGCTTGTGTAGAAGGCATGTGCTATGCAGGGTTCATTTAACAAAATTTGAATAAGACTTTTAAAATGACCCAATGAATCTGGAAAATACAGGATCTCAAATTAGGATAATTTTAGTGGTTTCTTTTCTTTGGTTCAGTGTTTCACCAAAATGAATAGCTATTTTGAAATAGTTGACTTCAGAATAGGTGATTTTTACGTGCCAAGTTGAAGGCCACTGTGTTTGTGTACAGGTCAGGAGCAGGTGTTCGTATCCATCCCTCTTCTCACAGTCATGAGGGCCAGTAGTGACTGGAGGGTGCAGAGGCTCAGGCTTCCTCCTGGAATGCCAGGAGGACATTAACAACAGTATAGTGTGAGATTTTGTTTACACTCATGGAGGTTGTCTTCATCTAAGTATTGTCTGCTCTGTTTTGTTGTTGAAATGACTTAACAAGTGATGATTATAGGGTTTTTTGTTTTTTTGTGGGTCGTGGGGCTTGAACTCTGGGCCTAGACACTGTCCCTGAGCTCTTCAGCTCAAGGTAAGCAAGCGCTCTACCACTTGAGCCACAGCGCCACTTCCAGTTTTTACTGGTGGTTAACTGGAGATAAGTGTTTCCTTCCCAGGCTGGCTTTGAACTGCTATCCTCAGATCTCAGCCTCCTAAATAGCTAGGATGACAGGTATAAGCCACCAGTGGTTGGCTGTTAATTGGTTTTCTTGTGTTCTGCTCCCTCCTCTCCCCCTTCCCTGTTTCAGTCCTGAGGCTTGACTCAAGGCCACTGTCCCTGAACTTCTTTTCCTCAAGACTAGCACTCCACCACGTGAGCCACAGTGCTACTTCACTTCTGGCCTTTTGTGTTTACGTGGTGCTGAGGAATTGAACCCAGGGTAGTTCTTTTGTTTTCATTGTTCTTATCTGACAAAAAGCTTTTCACAGCTGGAGTGAAAGTTGATTTGGGAGGGATACTGTCTTATGTCACAACTGTTTGATTTATCTAATAGCTTTTCATGGTGTATTAGCTTCTCTAGGGATGATTAAGAATAAAGTAGTCATGGATGGGAAAGAATGCTGTGAACAGCATTTCTATGCTCTCATGTACTTGATATGGAGTGACATAACATGTCTTTTTAATGGGTTATTTTAAAATATCAACTCTTTGCAGCTGCTGATGAAGAAGCATTTGAGGACAATTCTGAAGAGTACATAAGAAGAGATTTGGAAGGATCTGGTATGTATTTTGCTTTTGTAGCTGTGGCTCTTGCAAGCCAGTTTAATGTCATTCTCTTTCTGGTAAATAGGAAGAGTGGAGACTAGGATAAGAGTAGTTTCAGCTGGTTGCCGGTGGCTCACGCCTTAACCCTAGCTACTCAGCAGGCTGAGATCTGAGGATCACCATTCAAAGCTAGCCTGGGCTGGAAAGTCTGTGAAACTCTTATCTCTAGTAAACCACTAGAAAACCGGAAGTGGTGCTATGGCTCAAGCAGTAGAGCGGTCGCCTTGGGCCAGTGAAGAGCTCAGGGACAGCACCCAGGCCCAGAGTTGAAACCCCATGACTTTTTTTTTTTTTTTTTTTTTAGCGGGGAGCTGGGAAGGTGGCTCAGTCGCAGTGCCTGGGTTCAGTTCCTCAGCACCATATAAGCAGAAAAAGCTGGAAGTGGCACTGTGGCTCAAGTGGTAGAGCGCTAGCCTTGAGCTGAAAAGCTGAGGGACAGCGCCCAGGCCCAGAGTTCAGGTCCCAAGCACCATATAAGCAGAAAAAGCTGGAAGTGGCACTGTGGCTCAAGTGGTAGAGTGCTAGCCTTGAGCTGAAAAGCTGAGGGACAGCGCCCAGGCCCAGAGTTCAGGTCCCAAGACCAACCAAAAAAAAAAAACTTTCAGGTTTGGATTTTGTCCCTAGCATTGCAAAAAAAAGCAGGGAGGGAGTCAAAACATACTGTCTTAAAAATTTTTTAATTGTTATTATAAAGGTGATATACAGAGGGGTTATAGTTACGTAAGTCAAGTAATGAAAGTATTTCTTTTTTTTTTTTTTTTTTTGGGTCCGGTCGTGGGGCCTGAACTCTGGGCCTGGGCTCTGTCCCTCAGCTCTTCAGCTCAAGGCTAGTGCTCTACCACTT